GCGGCGGCAGCGTGGGAGAAGGCGCAAGCTCTGCGGTGTCCCGGGGAAGTTGTCCCTGGAGCACCCTCCAGGCAGCGACTGAGGAGCCTTGGTGGGTGCGCGGGCGTGGGGAGCCCCAGAGGGTCTCCAGGGCCCCCCCCTTCCAGGCAGTACAAACCTCTGGCTTTCGGTGGTGTGCAAGTATCCCGTCAGTGACGCCGGCACCTGCGGCTCTGGGTTCAGACCCGATTACCGTTTCCATCTGACCTGCGTGAAGGGTACCCTTCACTGTGGTGTGGGGCCCGGGCTGCTTGTCGAGCTGGAGGAGGTGGTGGTGGGTGCACCTCCTTCCTTTTCTGATGGTTTTCTTCCACTGTAGCATGGCCTCCACCCATTGACATGTTGCCAGCTTGGCTCCCCATTGACGTCCACCCGCCCTTCCCTTCTGCCTGATCCCAGCAGCTGCTGCGTGATGCTCTTGGCCTCTCCGGTGAAGGTCGCCCAGCCCCTGCTGCCTCTCCCCAGCCCTGCCGTGTCCTCCCTGCAAGGCGCCGGGCATCCCCAGCAGCCCTCTGCTCTGCCCAGGGCTGCTGTCCTCTCTACAGCTCTTGCAGGCTCTGAAGAAGAACGGAATTCTTCGCTTGCAGAACACAACCGATCCAGAAAGACTTCTGACTCTCCCAAATGCTCCCCAGCCATGAGTCCCCCCCGTTCTCAAAATGGAAAGTCGGCTCCCGCTCAATGACAACTTCCCTGCTTGTTCTTGGCCAAAGTGAGACCTCCCCATCCCATCCCACCTCATTTTTGGGGAGAAGCTGACAAGTAGGTGGCTTCAGTAGCTGTAGAAGCTATGGGAATGTGCTGTGAGAACATTTAAAATGCAGCATGGAAGCAACAAGATCCTGGACTTCCAGCCATGGCTTTGGTGGGAGCTAAGATCTTCACATCTGTGGGGATGTTACCTTTGCCCTTTGTTTTTGCCAAGTTGCCTTCTCCCGCAGCTTTGAGCATTCAGGTAGCCCCAAACCAGTGGTTTCCCACTCTTGCAAGGCTCTCTGTTTCTGCACTTTTTCCTTTTAATTCCACTTTTTCCAAATGCATTGGCACCCAGCAGCAGGGAGGATGGAGTTAATTACATAGCAAAGACCTTTTATCAAACTGTGGATAAACCAGTAAGTAACTGCACATGCCTTTACTGGTTGCCACTGGGCAGTGCTTCTGAAATACTGGCAGGACT